TGCTGTTATTAATTCATCTTCCTATATAAGTAACCTTTTTTACGATAGTCAAGAATTAATACATTTTCTTGTTTATGATTTCCTGGAAGTAAAAGATTGCATTTTTATACTGGGAGGCATTCTGTCAAACCATGTTCTCCCATAAATTCTGAGACTAAGGCATACATTCAATTTCTACATGGCCACTGAATGTTTCAGAGGCACAACAGAAAAGGAGATTGCATCATAGACCTCAGTAGACGGCAAGGATCCCTGCCACCTGCCATAGAGGCAAGGCTGCCGACTGCAAACATGCGACACACTGAAAGTAATCTATTCTCTGAAGCACCTAAACTTGCCCATCCTCGTGACGAAGCTTTAAACTAGATTGTTTGCAATGGCGAGACTGGCAGCAACTCAGCACTGCTGAACTATCAAAATCCCTTGAGCACTGCCATCGGAGCACGCCCACATTGGGGCCCCTCGGACAAGTGGGCGACTGGGTTGGGCTTGTTCCTTTATCTTCCCATTTATCCCAGATACAGGGGAGAGAGAGAGAGAGAGAGAGAGAGGAGAAAATATGGAAATAATGGTTTGACCAACTTTTTCTGTAACCCTTGACCCTTGGTGCCCTGACCAACTATGTAAAAATTATCAAAATGAAATAGATTGCTCATTAGTTCAGTTCAAGCAGGAAGAAGCTGAATTCTCACTTCTACGATTTAAATGTTACAACATAACACAGAAGCAGGTAAGATAGCTTTATCTTGCACAGAATACACACAGGGATCTTTACACAGTTCACAGAAATGTGAGGCATGAAACACTGATGCCTACATTTGAAACTAATTTTTGTATCTAATGCACATATATATTCTCCTTTGTTTTGCCATGAACTTCTTGAAGTGTTTTCATAAACTGCTTTCAATTTCTCATGGGCAGCAAGAAAGACTATGGAAGGCACTGGATATGGCAGTCGGAGAGACCCACATGGGCACTGCCCTGCACTCTGTCACCTTGGGGCTGTCTGATGCCACCATTGCCTCATTTCCAACCTCACTGTCATTTGTAAACTCAAACTAAACATGGGGCCATCTTGAGTGCTGAGCAGAGAATCTGAGAAGAGCGAGGCTAGAGCACTTAGTACGTCTTCATTCTCAACATCAAATCTTACGAATGTAGACTTAACATCAGATGATTTCAAACGTCTTCCATTATTTAATTCCTAATATTGGTTCCAAAAACCCCATAAAAAGTCACATAATCCATGATAATATGTAAGTAAAAAGTATGGAAATTGCTACGGATTCTTCTCTTTTCCTCAGTCCATTATCAATCTTCTGGAAAAATCCTAATTAGTTCATCAAAATCCATTATGATTATGACAATCACTGTTGTTTAAACATCATCTCTCTCCTATATGTTTGCAAATAATCTCCAACTAGTCTCTCTTCATTATCCCCAGGCTTCTACAATCTACAATACTGACTTTTAAATTACTTGATTGTGACTCTAGATTTGAAATGTATTCACAGAGCTACTGCTTTCTCTCACTTCAAGGGAGTGTTAAATTGCCAGTCCCAGAAAAACAAGTACTGGAAAGACATCTGGCAAATACAAACCCCCAGTGTTATTAACTTCCTTTCCATTCTCACACTTCAATTTTGGTTCGGCCCTTATAAAATCAAATAAATAAAATTTAAAAGACTACAGTTCAGTAGGAAAATAGGCAAATGCTATTAACAATAACACACAAAAAAACAATATGAAGAAAACTGACAGGCTGGGACTTGATGATTGTTTATGACCAGTGCCTGCATGTCTCTCTGCCTGCCTGCGTGTCTGCCTGCCTACCTGCCTGCATAAATGCCTACCTGTGTGCCTGCCTGCGTAAATGCCTACCTGTGTGCCTGCCTGCCTGCGTGCCTGAGTGCCTGCATGTCTCCCTGCCTGCCTGCCTGCCTGCCTGCATGTCTGCCTGCCTGCTTGCCAGCGTGCATGCCTGTATGCATGCCTGTATGCATGCCTGAGTGCCTGGGTGCCTGTGTGCCTGTATGCTTGCCTCAGTGCGTGCCTGCCTACCTGCATGGATGCCTGCTGAATAGTGGTTTTTCTTCTTTTGCTGATCTTTTTCTTTATTGGGACATGAAGCTTATGATGAAAAGGTAAACTAAAAGATATTATTGAAAAAGCCATAAAAAAGAAAAAAGGAGGATGGAGTGAGGGAAGTATCACTATGTCATTAGAAATTATACCTGTGCTTTCTGTATCAAGGAAAAATTAATAAACAATAAACAAGATACTGAAATTCACTCAAATAAGAAACTTTAAAATAGCAGCAAAATCACTAAACCTATGAAAGTATATATTTCTTAACAATTTTGTTTGGCACATATTTAAAACAAGGAAAATTCTGCATGTGCTGTAAACTTTAAGTGCCTGTATTAGATTTTCTGGAAATATTATAACATTTAAAGGTTAAAAACAAAATAAATGAAATAAGGGAAGCACTAAGTCAGGTCTCCTTTACTTGTTTATTCTGATTTTTAACCTTTCTTTCTGAAATAATTTCAGACTTATAAAAAAATGAGACCAAACAAATGTTCTTCAAATGTTGACATGTGTCATAACCACAGCACGTGGTACAAAACCGGACAATACTGATGCAGCACTATTAGGTATGCTATTACATTTTCTGCCATCAGTCTCATTTACATGAAACATTTTTCTGGTCCATGTTGTAAATTACTATATTCTGTTGTCAAATGTTGGGAGTCTTCTATTCTCTAACAGCTCCTCCATTTTTTTCTTTCTTGACCCTGATACTGTTTTTAAAAATCTATTCGAGTGGTAGACAGGTGTGTGGGCAGTAGTTATGGTGGACAGCAGAGAGGACAAGAGATGGAGGGGAGTGGTGTCATTCAATGCTCTCCTCAAATGTCCACATCAGCTGGGGCCAGGCCACCGCAAAGCCAGGACCTCGCAAATGCCATTGTGGGTGGCAGGATCTCAAGTACTTACTCGCAGCTATCACTGCTAGTAGGCCCTGGGTCTACACTAGCAGGAAGCAGGGGTTAGAGGCCAGAGCCAGGGAGTCAATCAGGCACTCCCTCCCACACAGTCTCCCAGCCACTAGGCAAAAGGCCTGCCCTCCAGCACTAAGATGCAATACATCATTAACACCCTGGTGAAACTTTCCATTTTTAAACACATAATCTGATTCCAAGGAAGTGAGCTGATTTCTCCCAAGTCACAGTCCACCAGCAGCTGGTCTATTAGAGCATCATCCTAAGCCCCAGTTGAATACTCTGATCATGTCCTCAGTGGCTGTCATCGTTTTTCCTTTTCCTAAAGCACTATGACACTTATAACATTCATGATACAAGTTTCATAATGGTATGACATTTACTGTCAATTTCTTCTAGTTTTCTTAAACTTATCTGTTTTTCCCCAAATTATTACAATATCTTTGAGAAGGACTTCACCAAATTTCCTTTACAGAACTCCAAAAGCTTTTGGGGAGTCGTGGCACCTGTCAGGTACCTACCGAGTCTATACTGACGGACTGGTTCCCAGGGGTAGGAACAACAACCCAGGCTACAAATCAGTGATGTAATCAAGAATGGGATAACCATGGAAAGTTTTAAGTTTCAGATGATTTAGGATGTAAAATTCGACCTAGGTAAATCTTTGATTTCGTATACAGCATTGTGCAGAGCATGTAACTTCCTCGGTCCTTCAATCCTTGCAGTACTCCGATCATTTTTCTCTTTATATAGGTTAGGAACCTGAAGTAGGCTGCCCAATATTTCAGAATCAGCAAATCATGCACTGAGTTAATGATATCCAACAGTTGAAAACACGAAGTTTAACTAATAATGATCATCCTAACACATCTACTGCCAAGTTGGGAACCAGCTTTCTGTGTGTGCCTTGCTCTTCATAGTAAGAATAACCACCAATAAACAACTAAAAAGGCATCTGCATTTCTATATTCTTCCATTTCACACTGCTGGATTTCAGCAGCAGCACGATTTATAGGCAGTGACAAATTAATACCTCAATGAACACAATCATATTTAACAGACAGGTCTGAATATTATAAATAAAATGATTCATGATATAATTGCTTTTCTTTCCAGGTATAATTGTTGAAATTGAATCTTAGTATAGCCAGAAAAAAAAATTTACAGTAAACATTGGGGACAGGGACAGAGAGAGAAAAATATGAACACATATACAGAAGGGCAGCCATAGGCAATAAGTCAGCAAGATCAGTGTGGTATATATTTTATGATGGAGTTAAGTAAAATGCATACATAAAATGTGTCACTATCTCAACACTCCTTAAATGAAGTAGCTGTGTTATATTATTTCTCTTCAATCATTGTCAATTCAAGAGGAAAACAACAACAACAACACTGGGCTGAGAACGCACACAGCTTCTTCTGAATCGGAAAAGGGGCATCATGGAGCAGAAAAGGACAAGGAGCAATGACCGTCAATGCTGGGTGGTACTGCTGCCAAGATCTGTGTTGCTTGTTAACACATCACCTTCCATCTTAAAAGGCTGGAATAAAATCATATTTTGTTCCAAGGCACCAATAACAACACTCTATATTATCAGAAGTAAGTTTTTCTCCATCCAGGCATACAGAGTGCTGCTGGTCCACATCCTATGGGGGGCGGGGCGCGGTGAGGGGCAGAGTACTGAGATGTTTGATGAACCAGAACAAAATGGAAATCATAACTCGTCATTCCAAATCAGGACGGCTTTATAATGTGATGATTTGGAAAACGTATTGGTACACCAAAAGCAACACGTTCCTCCTGCTTCCGGTACCTTTGCCTTCTCACTTGGGAATATGCAGCTCTCTGTATGCCCATTTAACACAGCTACGGACCCGTTGTGGAAGTGGGGCTCAGTCACAGAAGCTCTCTCACAGGTTTCCAAGCACACTAACAAAACAAGAAAAGAGAGCGGAAAGATCAAAAAGCCTCAGAAAGGAGTCACTACTCACAATGTTCATCAGGGTGAGGAGGTAGTTTTGGACGTGTTCTTTGCCATGGAAACGGACCACAGAGTCATCCACTCCCAGCAGCACCTCGATGTTGTAATCGCTTTCTCCCGCGTGCCTGCGGCGCCTCATTGTTTCATTGAGCTGTTGGTCAATGGTGCTGTAGATTGTACCTAGATCATCCAGGCCTTCCACATCGGACTCTATCAGGAAACAAAAGCAACCCAGGCATTCAGTTTACCAGTGGGCCTTCAAATACCTTCATAGAAAAGTGAATCTTCCTAGGCTTAGTACTGCAATTCTTGGTCACTGCGATGCTTCTTTTTAGTTTAGCCTCAAAAGAACTGCTATGTGCACACCTACTAGATTCCACATGGAACAGCCACACTGTGGGAAAAATCACATTATCATGCAGAGAGCAGTGCTGACAGGCCAAGTGAAGGATTCAGGGTGCTAACAGTGACTTGGTCTTTCTCCCGGCTATCTCTACAGCACAACATAAGTACAAGAACGTATGTCGACTGAGTCGTTGTTAACTACTTGGAGATCATAAACAAAAACTGAATGCCAGTATATTCCCAGTGGTTAATGGCAATATAAATATGATGTGCAGAATTAGTATCACATGAACTTAAATTTCTCCTTGTTCCAATAATCTTAATGTTAAAAATCAAATTATAGCACCACAAAATAGCAGCATCTAGTTAGTGATGACTGAACACTGCCTATCCTTCTCACGGGTCTTCCTGTCCAGCAGGTGCTTCTGGAGAGGAAGTGAGAGACAGTGTATCCACTTCATGCTTTAGCTCTCTGCATCCATACACACTATCATGGAAGGGAGCGAGCCACTTGCCACTTCATGAATCTATGACACGTCAGAGCAGAATCAATCTGAAAAATGGCCTCCATCAAAGGACAAACAAAAGCAGAAGTAATTTACGCAGTTCAAGGGACTTCATTTTCATTTCATTTTATATATAGGACACACATGTAAACATACCCAACTATTTATACACCCATACCCATACAGATATATATATACATGCATATACACACATGTATATATACATTTGTATACACCAATATACTAATACATTTCTACAGTACATATGAGGATCTCAATGGATCATAGAACATGGAATTTGGGTCACAAAAAATTGAACTGTATATAGTGAGTTATTTCACAGCATGAATTTTCCATGAACTTCATGAAGAACCCCTCCTGGCTATATGTCATAGACCCATCAATAAATACACATAAGCATCTATTGAAGGAAAACACAGGAGTGACATCTTCAGGTTTCAATGACATGGATTATCTACCTTCAGATGGCTATATCTGTAGAGAAGAAAATGTTTTTGGTTATTTAAAAAATTCATTTGGACATTAAAAAATATTCAGAACTGTTGGTATAAAAATAAGCTGTATTCATCTCCATCTCAAGTATATACAATTCAGAAAGGATTTTATAAACTGCTTTTATGTCTAAAATAGGTTTGACAGAACAAACTTTGACTCATGATTTACAGGGAGGTTTATTTAATGCTGTGCTGAGACTTCAAGCCATTTGATCTGGCATCTGACATTCATGAATAGGAATTTTCCTTTTTGCCTCTGTGGCTTTAGTAAGGCTGAGGGTGAAAGGTGTCTCTAGGTCAGGAAGGTTAATGGCCGATCCCTATCCACCTGGCATCAGCAGAAGTGGAACCACCGATTCCACTCACACCTTTAAAAAATATATGGGAATACCAACATTCACCCTCCATGTACAGGCAGAACTTTGAATGTGACCACGCATATTTGAAGGCTAGACAGTAATTCACACTGACCTAAGCCTGTTAGCCCATTACATGGGCCTTTCTTCTCCCTGAGGAGTCCCACTGGCTCTGAGAAATACAAATACCTCTCACCATCATCCACATAAAACAGAAAGCTTTTCTTGAAAGCTGCTCTCAAGGGCCATTAGCACAAACCTGTCTATTATTCAATCTGAAATCTCCGTGCACACTTGTACATGTGGAAGGTTGTGATACTTGTGTATGAAGAAATCCATATAGAACTCTCAGTTCTAAGTCTGTCACAGACAACATCCAGTGGAATTACACTAGCAATGTCCTCATATCAACAAACCACTTACATAAATGAGGAAGGCTGACTACCTATTTTACAATGACAGTGCATTCTGCTCTGACCAATGTTTAGTTTGGCCTTTGCATCCACTTTATGGGAAGAGAAGGGGATCACATTTTACAGTCTCCTAGGGTACCTGGAAAGGAAGAAGGACAACTTTGTAAGTAAAGGATACTGTGTGTGATGCATCATTCTTTTCCAAGATCCCTAAAGTAGTAACAGTCAAACTTTTCAAAAACTGCCATTGGGACTGTTTCAGGCAGTTATTTACACACAGCTTGGAGGCTGTGAAGTACTTTCATTTACAATTGATTTTCTTAGACTGTGTCCTTTACAATGTAATAGTCAAGTATGGGTCATCCCATCAAACATGCTTGGCTTCAAATGTTGGCGATATCACATCCTAATAGGGTGATCCAACACAAGATGCCTGTGCTCTTTGATTCTCGGTCTCTTTATCTGTGAAGTAAGATAATAATGCTTGTTTCTGCAGAGCTACAGAAATGAATTAATGATGGTGAAAGCATTACTCAGGGAGATTAGATATAAAGTGGGCAAAAAAAACGGTGTTCACCGCTATGATGATGATTTTCCCACTGAAGAGATGCCTTCAGTTTTTTTGAAATCCTATCATCTTTAGAAGTCATCTATACCTTAAATAACTTGGCTATAGTGATTTAAAGAGGCAAGAAAAACATAAGTGAGGGAAAACCTACACAGTTGATAACCTTAGGTAATAGGACATAGCATGGGGACCCAGAACTGAAATTCACTGGAGGTAGTAGTGTAAGTAACGTATATGGGAGAACTGGACAATGACGGGATCAGTAACATCAACCCGTAGATGACACAGCTGAAAAAGCAGCCACAAGGAGAAGAATCCCCTCATCAGAGTTGCAATGCCCATGGGCCAAAGAAAAGGCACAGGTAAACGAGTAAGGTGACTGACGCCTACCCCATAATGGACCAAGATTATTTTAACCTCAAAGTTAACCGAGAAAGACACCAAGGAACTGCTGGATCAGAACTTTTAAAAATCACTACGAAGCTCCTTAAAAAAAAAAAACTAGAAGCACATACAGGAATTTAATGTATATGTTACACAGCAAATAGCAACACTGAAACAAAAGCAAACTGAGTTATTAGAAATGAAGGATATAATACAGCAAGTTAAAAATTCAGTGGAAGGCCTCAATAATATAATTGATGAGGCAGAAGAAAGACTGTCAGAATTGGAAGACACCTCTTTCTAATGCTGAAGCAGTCAGAAGACTGGAAGAGGAACTGAGTTAAGCTAAGAAACCATCCAAGAATTAAGGGATACCATCTGAAGACCCAATATCAGAGTTTCTAAGAGTGGAAAGAGAAACAGGGACTTTATTTGGAGTTATAAGACAGAAAGAAAGTTAAGACTTAGTTATTTTATTGGGAAGTCAGATTCACAGACAGGAAGAAAGACAGAGAGAAAAATCTTCCATCTGCTGTTTCACCTCCTAAGTGACTGCAACAGCTGGAACTGGGGTGATCCAAAGCCAGGAGTCAGGAGCCTCCTCTGGGTCTCCCACATAAGCACAGGGTCCCAAGGCCCTGAGTTGTCCTCAACTGCCCTTCCCAGGCCACAAGCAGGGTGCTGGATAGGAAGTGGACAAGAACTGGTGCCCATGTGGTATTCCAGTGTGTACAAGGCGAGGACCTCAGCCATTAGGCTACATCACCAAGGCCAGGACAGAAACATTTTATTTACTAAGCCTGAAATTAGCAGAATATAAAAATATATGTGGTTGGAACTAGCACAGAAATTGGTGTTAAGCTTAATGCAAGAAAATGAGAATGAAGACTACTGATGGAGAGAATCAGAGTATTCGCCAACAGTGATTTTATGTCTCTAAATTAAGCCATTCATTTCTCTAAACTCAGTCTTTTACAATCTGTGAACCAAACATCACCACTACTATGCTTTGTTTTCACTGTTTTATTTCACATCGTTCTGCTTAATACAGCTTGATGTGAATTCCTGACACCTGAATCCGAAAGGATCTCGATGAATAATCTCATAAAATATTCTTCCAGACACCATCAGCAATTGTGTTCATTTTCCTTTGCTTTCTTCTTCTTTAGTAACTCCTCCTCAATGGCAAAGTTCCTCTGAAAACAAAACACGTTCAGTTTTTACTTCCCAATTATTTTATTCTCTTCATTTTTGAAAGAGTTATTTATTTTATGACATTTCTCTTCTTCTTCTTAAGTAAATTATATTCTTTCTCATGTATGATTTCTGTAGTTCAGATTGCTAAGTTATGGTTCTCTAAATATGCTCACTGCGTACAGGAAAGATAATCTAATTCACCACTATCAATTTCAAAGTTCGTGTTATTTCCTTCAGTTGCCTCCAGTATGCCTGCAGCACCAGGCCAAAGCCAGAAGCCAGGAATGTGTTCTGAGTCTCCCATATGAGTGTAGGGGTCCAAGCTCTTGGGCAATCTTCCAATGCTCTCCAAGACCTATCCGCATGGAGCTGAATGGGAAGTGGAGCAGCTTGGAGCTGGCATGAAGGCTCAGCTAATCCTCCACCTATGAACACTAGCATTGCATATAGGTGCCAGTTTGTGTCCCAGCTGCTCCTCTTCCCATCCAGCTCCCTGTTTAGATGCTGGGAAAGCAGTGATGGATGGGATCCTGGACCCATGTGGAAGACCTGGAAGATGTCCCTGGCTTCTAGCTTCGTATCAGCTCAGCTCTGCCTATTGCAGACATTTGGGGAGGGAAACAGCAGATGGAAGATTTTTCTGTGTTTCCTTCTTTCTGAAAATCTTAGTTTCTAATAAAAATAAATAAGTAAAATAAAAAACAGAAAAGGAAAAGGAAGTAGAGCAGCTAGGACTTAAACCAGTGCCACAGGCTATGCTGATTTTGCAGGTAGAAGCCCAACCTTCCGTGCCACGATGTGGGTCTCGTATGATAATTTTCTTATCAGAGGCTCAATACTATGTATTTCATCTTTCTGCTTCTGGACATGTTCACACTCCTTGTAAGCTCAAGCTTTGTTCTTGAATGAATTTCACTGATGTGGAA